CCTTTTGAGTTCCAGTCAGGAAAAGAAAAAGTAAAGTAATTAGATATCAGTTTTCATCCATCATAGTGAAAATAAAGCAAGTCTTCCCAGTTCTCCAAACATTAATGAAGGCATGGAGAAAAGAAACTATTTTTAATTTAATTTTAATTTAATTTTATTTTTTATTGGATATTTTATTTATTTACATTTCAAATGTTATCCCCTTTCCCAGTTTCCTTGGTGGAACCCCCTATGTCATTCTCCCTCCTCCTGCTTCCATGAGGGTGTTTACCTACTTGCCTACCCATTTCTGCCTCCCCACCCTTGAATTCCCCTACATTGAGGCATGGAACCATCCTAGGACCAAGGGCCTCTCCTCCATTGATGTCCAATAAGGCCATCCTCTGCTACATATGTGGCTGGAGCTATGGGACCTTCCATGTGTACTCTTTGGTTTGTGGTTTAGTTCCTGGGAGCTCTGTGGGGTCTGGTTGGTTGATATTGTTGTTCTTCCTATGGGTTTCAAACCCCTTCAGCTCCTTCAGTCCTTTCTCTAACTCCTCCATTGGAGATCCTATGTTCAGTCCAATGATTGACTGTGAGCATCCGCCTCTGTATTTGCCAGGCTCTGGCAAAGCCTCTCAGGCGGCAGCTATATTAGGCTCCGGTCAGCAAGTACTTCTTGGCACCTGCAATAGTGTCTGGGCTTGGTGTCTGTATATGGGATAGAGCCCCAAATGGGGCAGTCTCTGGTTGGCCTTTATTTCAGTCTCTGCTCCACACTTTGTTTCTGTATTTGCTCCCATGAATATTTTGTTCCCTCTTATGAGAAGGGCTGAAACATCTATACTTTGGTCTTCCTTCTTGAGCTTCACATGGTCTGTGAATTGTATCTTGGGTATTTCCGATCTTTTAGGCTAATATCCACTTATCAGTGAGTGCATACCATGTGTGTTCTTTTGTGACTGAATTACCTTACTCAGGATGATATTTTATAGTTTCATCTATTTGCCTGAGAATGTCATGAATTCATTGTTTTTAATAGCCATTGTATAAATGTACCACATTTTCTGTATCCATTCCTCTGTTGAATGTTACCTGGGTTCTTTCCAGCTTCTGGCTATTATAAATAAGGGAGCTATGAACATAGTAGAGCATGTGAAACCATTTTACACTGCTCATGGCAACAAAATTTGAGATACCTTGCAAACATTTAAAGTTTTCATTAGAGTATATTACTTATGCACAATACAGGTTTCTGTCATGGCATTTTCAAATATGTATATAATGTAATTTGATCATATTCACTCCTGTTAGTCTTTCTGGTCCACCTCCTATTTCCACCAATTCCATTCTTCTTTCTAGCCATCATGTCTTATTTTTGTGACCCAATGTATTTCACTGGGGTTGAAGCATGCATGAGAGTTTGCATATGGGAGCATGGGCACCTTATTAGAATCTTATGTCTTTCTTTTACTCTATTAATTATTAATTGAATGTTAGATACTCAGGAAAGGGTGGGACCAAATGAGGCTCCCCAATCTAAAAGAGAATGCTGATAGATCCAGTTTTGTGGTGATACACAGTAATCACAAATGCTCTGAGAGTATGAGTACAGTAGACACCTCATGACCAGAAGGAAGCACTTCACATCATTTTCCCCACGTTCCTCCATCTCATATATTATTCCCACCCCTTCTTTGGTGATATTTCCCGATCCTGGTATTGATTGATGTAGGTATTTTTCTTTTTATGTTTGAGCATTCAACATGTTATTTTCAGTATCCTGACCAGTTATGAGTCTCTGAAGTCATTACTGATCATTGCAAAAGAAGCTTCTCTGATCAACGTGTACAGATCACTAGCCTATCTAATAAACACAATTATTTAGACAGTGACTTGATAGATCTATCATGTTTACTTTTTAACAGACAGAATTATCATCATACTAGAGCCTATGACTTCCCCAGTCTCAGATACATGACTAGCTTTACAGAACCATATTGGAATCACCTCTTCTGGATTTGATACCAAATCCAATCAGGAAGCCAATGATTACTCATATAATAGACTTTCTACTATTGCACTTGTCAGTATGCCTAGAGTGAGTTCATTAGTGTATGTAGGGTTTTTGGTATTAAGACTATTGATGACATTTCTGACCCTAAAACTTGGATAGTAACTTTCATCAATATAAAGCTACCCACTAGGAAGGAAGCTTCCAGCTCAGTTTCAGCTTGACTTTTTTATGCTTGTGACCAACCCATGTAGCATTTCCAGCAATAGAGTCTTTTTTTCTTTCTTTTCTTTTTTTTATTTATTTAAGTTTCAGATGTCATTCCCTCCCATCCCCCCAGAAACTCCTTATCCCATCCCCCTTTCCCCTTTTGCTTTTATACCATTTTAATTACATGCAAGTTTTAAGGTCAGTTGTAGGTTGAGGAACCAGCAATACAATAGACGCAAATAGTCAAAGAATAAGCAAGGCGATAATCAAAGTTTCGTGAACACTCACGTGATCCTTGTTTCTAAGGCTTATCAGGATGACCAAAATATCTGAGCCTACTTCCCTGTCCTAGCCCAAAGTTATTTTCATGTCTGAAGCCTAGTTCCTTGTTCTAGCCTAAGATTTAGATTTCTGCCTGAAATTACTTCTTTGTTCTAGCCTAATGTCAGATTCCTGCCTGAAGCCCACTTCCTTGTCCTTGGTCTATGTGAGTTTCCTGCCAAGCAGTCCCAGAAGCTCTACACCTCTCCCCCTTTTCTATTTCATAAACAAGACTGAGTCTATCTTAGGTTGTTCTGAAAAGAATGCCTTCCTTACCCATTATGGAATATGCACTATCAAAAGCAATGCACTTCTGTCTTCGAGTGGTAAGGCTCTGTGCAGAATCTTACCCATCTAGAGTCTTATGATCTACTTTTGGTGGACAACAAGCATCTGTGGCAATTGTTTATGTTTGGGTGAGGGACTTTGTGATCAATAATTTAAGTGTGGTAGCCCAAACTAGTACTATGATTTTTACTTAATAATGTATTGCACCTAAGAGCCTACATATAATTTTTTAGTAGTTCCTTTCTTTGTAACAGGAGAAACTCTTAATTTTTTCTTTGTTTCAGGGTACATTTAGACTCCACCAAACTATTCAAGATCTCAAGGAGATCATGTTTGTATGAATCATGTATCTTAGCACTTATTCTTCTTATACAGAAACTAATTTTGATGAATTTCAGATCTACTATTTTGGTTAAAATAATAATCTATTACATGTTAAAATATATTGCATGAAAAAATAAGTCTTTCAAAGTAAAAACAGCAGTGATAACAGTGGCACTATTTATATAGCCTTTTTGGTTTTGATTTAACAGAAATAATTGAATTTGTATGGTTGTATTTGTACTTACTATGATTCAACATACTGTTTGTGATAACCTAAATGAACGGTCTCACACAGATAAGATTTTATTAGATATTTTATTAGAAAGATTATTTTATTATTGATTTCTTGAAATTCCAGCTATCTCTTTTACATCACATGCAAATACTAGATACTGGTTTTTAAATGGCAACTTGCAGCATAAAACCTTATGGCATATAAAGCAATATTTCATACTGTTTATAAATTCACTACTAGTATTTTCATGCTTTAATTTACTTAAATTGAGTATTTCATGAATAAACTTATATGCATTTTTGGAGTACTATATGATGTCTCAATGCATGTATACAGTTTGGAATGATCCAATCAGGTTTATTTATATGACTGCTCTTTCAAAAAACATTCTCATTTCTTTGTAGAGAAGACAATTTAAATCTTGTTGCATAGCTGTTTTGAAATATGCAGAACATTATTGTTATTAGATATAGTCTTTGTCTGATAGTACAATAGAATTCATGTAACTTGTGTATTTGAGATCAGTGAGTGTCTCTCCAAAGAAATTGAAAGCAGTAAGTAGATGAAATGTCTACATTTTTAAGTTCATTTTAGAATTTTTCACAATTGTCAAAATGTAGAAGCTATAGATCTATTTCTTTGAATAAGACATATACTTACTATAGTCTTTTAAATGTATTTGTTGAACATTTCTTGTAAAATCACCATATTTACATCAATTTCCCTTTTTGTATCCTTATGACTCTATCCCACTCCTCAAATTAATGATCTCTAATTCTTTAAATATTATTATATATTGCGCGCGCACACACACACACACACACACACACACACACACACACACACAGGTCCTAGTTGTGGAAGGCTTCCCATGAAGATCTCCAGCCCGGCCAGTACGGGGTCTCTGGCCAAGGAGATCGAGTGCAAGCAGGGATGGGGAATCACCTCCTCTGCCTCTGCCCGCATTTACTCTCAGGTACCGCACCTGTTGCTATGCTCTGAGCCAGTCTGGGCTGAGCTGGTGAGAAGTGGGCTAGCCAGCAAGGAGGGGAAGGGTCCTGAGCAAATCTCTTCCCAAATGTTACAGTTCTTGCAACAGAAACTCTCTGACAACAGGATGATTCTTGCATACACTCTACATCTCCCGAATAGGTTTCTTATATCCAGTTTTGGGATGGGTCAGAGTCTAGCAGCAATAACCCCTATTGGCTTGGTCTGAGAGCTTGAAGATACCTCATCTACATGTGGGAGAGCCTGAGGCACTGTTCCTACATGACTGATGGCCAAAGACATCTCTGTGGAGGAACCAGGAGGAACCAGGAGGCCCAAGAGTACTGTCAACTCCTACCATCCCTTTAGGGTATTTGGGGTTAGAAGTAGACTCAACTGTGTATCCCATTGCCTCTAACAGACCACCGCCCCACAACTCCCTCTTTTTCTTTTATAAAAAGAGATGTCATCAGAATAACTCTCTCCTATGTTGGGAACAGTTTGATACTGAACCAAGACCTAATTGGTAGTTACTTTTGCAATGCTACTCATCTACTGCTTTAGAACCTGAATGAGGCAGGGTGCCAAGAAGAGCAAGGCTCCAATGGTTAGTATGGGGCCAAGGAGGGGAAGGCATTAGAGTTCCAAGGGGTAGGGGTTGTTGGGAGTACAGCGTGTCCGGAGGTTCCCCTGGAGCTCTTTGAGCATTTGTACATCTTGTTCTACCAGCCCAGATTCATTGACATAGAAGCAACATTCCTCCCCCAGCAAAACACAAGTCCCAACCTGTTCAGCAGGCAACAAGTCCAGGGCCCTCTGGTTTTGGAGAGCAACTCCTGCTAAAGAGGTTATCTGGCATTGAAGAGATTCAAGGCTGTCTATAGTAGAGGACATTGCCTGGTCAAGCTTGTCCTTGAAGTCTCTGGCCAGGTGTTGTGTCTGGACAAGGGCTTCCCCAGCAGTTCCTGTAGCACCAAGTGAAACAGCAAGGCCTAGTCCAATGAGCAGAGGGATGAAGATCTCTTTCTTCTTTCGGCTTCCTCCCATCTGCAAGGCAAGTCCTTCAGGTTCATAGAGGTAAGCCTGGGGGATAACAATCACTTGGGCACTGGAGCCCTGAAAATCATGGTTGATACAGGCACTTATAGTGCCTTTACACCAGAGGAGGGCAGGAGTGTTAACACATACTGATTTGGTAATGGTGATGTCATGGGCACATGCAAGATGGGGTTTTGAGGAGAGCCCTACAAGGCAAAGAGGTGGGGGTAGGTCAAAGAGAGGAATGTCCTGTGCTTTCCTCATGGTCAGGGGTCCATGGAAGTCATAAATTGAAAAGTTAATGGTAATGGCTGTTAATAATGTTTGGGAGAGAGAGAGACACAGAGAAAGCATTGGGAGGAATTGGGGTGGGTCATTACGGGAAGGAGGTCCGTTGTATATTGGATGAACTGTAGCGAGGAAAGGGTAGCTTGTAGTTTCTCCTGAGACTGGTTTTCCTGTTGGGTAATATTAGCATGGGTAAAGGCTGATTTGGGGGCAGTGAAAAGTTTATGGGAGATGTGTAGGTCAGCTACAGGGTATCTGGCATAGCCATTGAAGTAAAGTTTACCCATGACTTCAGTTCGTCAACGTTCATTCCATGGATCACTGATGGAAAGCTAAAAATGAGTTTTAAGATTGTTGGGCATGGTGCCACCATGACTGGTGGATTCCATCATGCAGCTCCAATATCTGCAACCTCCATATGTGGAGATTTCCTGGAGACATTCACCTGTGTTTCAGTAAGTAAAGCAGAGAAAAGGGCTGGGGACAGTGGAGATAGATTCTGTGTGTAGGGGAATCTCAATCCTGGTTTGACATCCTTCATGTGGGCAGTCCTGGGTTCCTATAACTTTACTGTGTCCATTGTAGGTTTCCCTAGCATAGAATCTCCAGTGGTAGGTGTTGGGAGAGGCTGGGCAGTAGCAGAGTTAGCATGAAGTTAGCAAAAACAGTCAAGAGAATAGAGGATAGGAGGCCTTGTGGAGGGCACATAGCCTGGGCAGCGGTCACCAGGTCTTGGATGTCCTTCTAGGAGATCCTGCTGTTCCTCTGGGTGTGGTGTCTCCTCTGCCTTCTCTTCTCCCTCCTTGGTTCTTGATCTGTCAATGAGAGGCAGGCCATCTTCTTGGTTGGTGGGGTGGTGTCAGACATTTCTGGCAGGGACTCAGATAAGCTTAGGCTGGTCCTGTGGAAAATCACAAGCAAAACACCTCCCAGTTATAAGGAAGGGGTCTGGTCCCTTCCAAATTCCATCCAAAGGATCTTGCCATTGTACTAGGGCAGGGGAGCAAATTTTGGTGTGTGCAAATGGAGGGAAATAGGAGGGTGTTTGGAGTTTTTGTAGATGTTAAATATGTTTAGGGTACTCAGGGCCATCATTAATTGTATATTGGGGGATAAGTAGTTGTTTTTTGTTTCAAGAATTGGGCCTTCAGGGTCTGATGTGTTCTTTGTATTATTCCTTGACCCTGAGGGTTGTGGGGAATTCCTATATGATGGGCAATTTCCCAGCATGTGCCGAAAGTTTTCAATTAAGAGCTAGTGAAGGCAGAGCTATTATCAGTTTTTATCTGTTGAGGAATGCCCATGATGGCAAAGGTAGAGAGCATATGGCAAATTAACCTTTTTGAGTTTTCACCTGTCTGGGCTGTAGTCCATATAAAATGTGAGTATATATCTACAATGACAAAAACATATTTTTGTCTACCGAATTGAGGATTATGGGTGACATCAACTTGCCATAAGGCATTGGATTTGAGGCCTCTAGGATTGGTGCCCATGGTTTGTGAAGCTGGGGTGGTAATGAGGGATGCGCAAGAGGCACATGTTTTTATTATCCTTTGGAGTTGAGCAAGGGGATATGAGGGAAGCAAGCATGAAGCCCCTTTAGAATTGTGTGTGTGCATGAATGAAATTGGTTTGCTTGTTCAGTGGAGGCTATGAATGTCCCTGTTGGGGCAGTTTGGTCAGCGAGTTCATTTCCCTCACACATAGGACTTGGCAGGGGACTGGGAGATCATATATTCTGGATATAGATGAGGGAGGCCCTTTCCTGAAGGAGGGTGGAGACCTATATGAGTAGAGAGGAAACTGGGTTGGCATGTAGTTTGACAAATGATCTTGACAGCCAGGGGAGCAAATTGACAGCATATACACTGTCTGAAAAGAGGTTAAGGGGGCCCTTAACTTCTTTTAGAGCTAGGTGAATGGCATATAGTTCTTTATATTGGGGGAATGGTGGGGAAGTTCTTTGAATGGGAGGATGTGCATGTGTGTGTGCATACACACTTACATATACAACCTGTTGAGTTAGTTCACTTACTGTTGCTCATGTGCTGAGTTTTGGGCTGACCACTTTGGATGTTTTATGCTATCAGGCAGTTCAACCTTAGAGAACCCTGATTCTCCTCTCAGCAGCTTTTAATTGTCTGTAAGTCTTCATCCAGGGGTTAGACCTTTTGAAATTTTCTACATCCCAACTGGCACATCAACTTGCATTGTCATTTTCTATGTCTTGCTTGCATATAATCTCATAAGATCATCTGTTGGTTATTTGAAAAATGTTCCTTCACTAAGCTGTGCAAATCTTCTGAATGTATCATTTTAGAGAATCAATGTTTTTGCTCTTACATACACAATCACAGAATCTTTAGTTACCTTGAGGTTCCATGATAACATTTTGATAATGGCTGATAGAGAAGTAGCTTTCAGATTTTCAATGAATCATGACTGATACACTTAATTGGTTTGATTATATTGAGGAAAACAGAAAGTATCTATGTGGTAAATTTAAATCAACTAAGTAAAAATGTATGTTTGTTTGTTTGTTTATTTATTTATTCATTTATTTATGTTTTTCGAGACAGGGTTTCTCTGTGTAGCCCTGACTGTCCTGGAACTCACTCTGTAGACCAGGCTGGCCTCAAACTCAGAAATCTGCCTCCCTACTGCTGAGACTAAAGGCGTGCGCCACCACTGCCCGGCTAAAAAAATTTAATGTTCTTTTGTGATTGGCTTACTTCACTCAGGATGATAATTTCTAGTTCCATCCATTTACCTAGGAACCTCTCAAATTCATTGTTTTTAATAGCCGAGTAATACTCCATTGTGTAAATATACCACATTTTTTGAATCCATTCCTCAGTTGAAGGACATCTGGGTTCTTTCCAGCTCCTGGCTATTATAAATAAGGCTGCTATGAACATAGTTGAGCATATGTCTTTGTTATATGTTCGAGCATCTTCTGGGTATATGCCTAGGAGTGGTATAGCTGGATCCTCAGGTAATGCTATGTCCAATTTTCTGAGGAACCGCCAGACTGATTTCCAAAGTGGTTGCACCATCTTGCAGTCCCACCAACAATGGAGGAGTGTTCCTCTTTCTCCACACCCTCGCCAGCATCTACTATCACCTGAGTTCTTAATCTTAGCCATTCTGACTGGTGTGAGATGGAATCTCAGAGTTGTTTTGATTTGCATTTCCCTGATGACTAAGGACATTGAACATTTCTTTAGATGCTTCTCGGCCATTCGAGTTTCTTCCATTGAAAATTCTTTGTTAAGCTCTATACCCCATTTTTTAATAGGGTAATTTGGTTGTCTGGTGTCTACTTTCTTGAGTTCTTTGTATATATTGGATATTAGCCCTCTATCAGATGTAGGATTGGTAAAGATCTTTTCCCAATTTGTTGGTTGTCGTTTTGTCCTATTGACAGTGTCCTTTGCCTTACAGAAACTTTGCAATTTTATGAGGTCCCATTTGGTATTCACTCACTGATTATTGGATATTAGCCCAGAACCTTGAAATGCCCAAGATGCAACTCACAGGCCACTTGAAGCTCATAAAAAAGGAAGACCAAGTGGGGGTGATTCAGTTCTTCTTAGAAGGAGCAACAAAATACTCAAGGGAGCAAACATGGAGACAAAGTGAGGGACAGAAACTGAAGGAGGGGCCATTTGAAGACCTTTCCACCTGAGTATCCACCCCATATGCAGTCACCAAAGGTAGATGCTGATGTGGAAGTCAGGAAGTACATGCCGATAAGGGCCTGATATGGATGCCTCCTCAGAGGCCTTCAAGAGTCTGACATATTCAGAGGCAGATGCTCACAACTAGCCATTGAACTGATCATGAGGTTCTCAATGGAGGAGTTAGAGTGAGGACAGAAGGAGCTGAAAGGGTTTGTGGCACCATGAGGAGAGCAACAATACCAACCAACCACAGCTCCCAGGGTCCTAACCACCAGCCTGGGAGCACTTATGGAGGGATTCAGGGCTTCAGCTGAATATGTAAGAGTAGAGGGCCCTGCTAGGCACAGGTGGAAGATGAGATCCTTGACCTCATGAAGGCTGGACGCCCCAGGGGGTGGGAATTTTGAGGGTGGGGAAGTGGGAGTGGGGGGGGGGGGTAGGTGGGGGTTACATCCACAAAGAAGAGGGTGGAGGGGTAAGGGGTGGGGGGGTTCCGGGGTGGGGGGGGGATGGGGTAAGGGGATAACATATGAAATGTAAATAAAATATCCAATAAAAAAAGAAAAAGAAAAACTGAAAAAAAAGAAAAAAATTGATAAAAAAATTTAATGTTAAAAATGTTTTATATTTTTAGCAAACAAACTTTGTATTATACATTGGACATAAACTTCAATGACACAAAGTAGCTATGTAAACACAGAAAAATATAAAATCTCAAATGGAAAATGCGTTCAGCCTTGATGATGTAAGAGAACAAAATTGACACATGGAGAGAAGGCTTGAAATGCAGGAAAGAACAGATCTGAAAATAGAACTGGGTAAAAACTGTTTTTTTTTGGAGAGATTTCACTTTTGAGGTTTGCATTTAGATCACTGAGTCAACTGCATGGCTAACTCCACTCTTCTGTGAGTACCTAGCCTTAGCTCATGGATTACAGTCTTTAATGCAGAGAATATCAGAGCAGAGCTGACATGAATTCTAAATAATTATAGAACAATAAGTGGGAGAGAAAATCCTTCTTTCAATTTAGACCATAAACAAGAAAAAAAAATTCTCTGAAGCGAAAGTTTTTGATAAAATGTGTTCCATAAATTAGTGCTCAGCCCTTCCTCAAAAAAAGGATAAAATATGTAAGTATGATTACTCCCAGTGAAGAAGAAAATATACACTTACCTGTGGGACACCTAACATAGGCTTTCTGCTGCAGTTATGACCAGGCAAACAAGAACTAAAGATGTAATTATAAAATAAAACATCATCAGACAACATGAGCAACCATATACTCAAACACAAAGAATAAAAAAAAAAACTGCCAAGGGACAATAGTTAACACAGATTACTAATATGATTAATGTGGATGATGATACTTAAAAGGTACCATTTCAGAACTACAGGCATACACAGTGCTATATAAATACATGATCACTGTAATCAAATGACCCTGGTGAACACACTACTTAGTACAAGTGACATAGTTGAAGACTACTCATGAGCAAAGCAGAAAATGAAGGACAAAGATGAACCATGTGTTCCACAAATTACTGCTCAGCCCTTCCTCAAAAAGCCCATCCTGAGCCCATCCTCAGGATGAAGTATGTAAGTATGATTACCTCACAGTGAAGAAGAAAACATACAGTTATCTGTGGACACCTAACCTAGGAAAGCTGATAGACATGGAAGTTCTATTCAAAGCTTGAATGATAGAAATAATGGAGTACAAATAAGAGAGATCACCTGTCATAGAAAAAGAGGAGGAGAAGAAAGCAAAATAATGAAGTGCTGGGAAAAGAGAAGAAGTTCAGATTTAGGAGAGGATTCAGAATAATTCTAAAGCAATAAAAGCAGCCATATGCATAAAAAGTACAGGTTTTAAATGCCTTCCTCGGAGGGTGAGGCAAGAGTGCTATTCATTTCCAATTTTTCACAAGTGCTGCTATTTTATCAATTATTTGCATGCATATATACATTCCAGTGTGTGCACATATAGTGTACAGGTAGAAAGGTCCATGTGTTTTTCACAGGTACCAACTAATTTGGAAACAAGAAATATAAGTGAGCATATGAATCTAAGTCCTCCAAATATAGGAACACATGATATCATCATTGTCGTTGTTATCTCCTTCATCATCATCACCATCATCGTGACATTTGATTTCAGGCTAGTGTTTAAGTTTTGTGTAAAATTACAGTATCAATCCTAGAAAAATAGTTTATAGAATCTGAAAGTCTGATAATTAAGTTTATTTAAAAGAAAAACAGTATTTAACATTCATGAGTTTGGTGGATATTTTCCTACTGGGAATTAAATTACATTATAAGGTTATAGCTACTGAAGGAGTGTGTTCTAGCATGAAAATAATAGAAATAAATAAAACCAAGTGTATAATTACTTATCTGTACTTTGGGATTCATCATGTGATGAAGGAACCTTTTCAGATCAGCAAAGAAGTGATTAGTTATTTAATATATGCAATTGAGCAATAACTGTTTAAGACTTGATGTGATTTATTTTATCAACAATGGTAAATTAAAATAAGTAAACCTATAAAAATATACAAAACTAACACTAAAGGGGTTTTGAAAATTCATATGGAAATACTGCATAGAAGCCTCAATATATATGTGAAAGATTGATTGGAACCACCATATTATGAAGGTGATAACACCTTATGCTACAAAGTAAAACCTCCAGTATCAGGAATAGATTATATCTTGCTGATTTTTTTTCACCAAAGAGACTCTCGCAGAAAATATCATAGGCTAATGCTAAAGCTATTGTTAACTTTCCATAACCTGATGGCAAAGCCCTATTATTGCAGACACAACTTTCTTATGTCATTGAATATGGAGAAATTGAACTAGTGCCCCAATAGACAGCTTCATTTGTCCTGAATAGTGTTCGTGGTGCTGGAAGATAGTTTGCATTCGCCTGGAGGTGTAAAGAATCTTCAGCATCAACTATCAGCAAACTCATTGACCCACAATGACAACTGTCCTCCAAGATACACTGGTCCAACAGTAGCACAAATATGGGAGTAATCACCCACTTTTGATTGGATTTAAGGCCCACTCCATAAGGTGGAACTCACCATCCCTGACATTACTAAAGTGGCTGAGACCCATGACTATGTAGGTCATGGACTTTAGGGGAAAAACTACAACTCTTATTTTGCTAAAGGAACACAGGAATAAAATGATGTCTAATAGCATGTTGTATTCATAGATCAAGCCATCACTCAGCTTGTTTCAGGAGATGGTACTTGACACAGAGACCCACAACTGGATGGTGTATAGAGAGTAGAGGCTTTGGAGCACTCAGCTCGAAATAGTATATGTTTATCAAACTCCTCTCCTCATGGATTAGAGACCAATGTAGTAGAGGAAGAATATTGAACCATCAGAGGCAGTGGATTACTTTTAATTGGTCTGTTTGATTTTTTATGTTTGATAAAGAAGAACTCATGAAGTTACATGGGTAGGAAAGATCTGGAGTTGTGGGAGGTGAAAGAATATAATCAAAATATAGTGCACAACTATATTTTAATAAGAATCAAAACTATAAAATGCCAACCTATAAAAATGTATAAACATTAAATTGTTAGAATAGAATGAATGGGACTACTTTTTCAGCTTGACAGGATATTAGTTTATTAACAAATATATCTGCTTGGAATTCCCCTCTACTTCTTGTTGACCTTTCCCTAAATTTCATTATCTTGCTTCAATCAATATCTTTCACTGGGACACGAGTGCACGCTCACGTGTGCGCGCGCGCACACACACACACACACACACACACACACACGACTTATCGAATTATATATTTATACATACATTAACCATAGTGTTCATTTTAGCAATGCTGACATGTTGGCTGCTTAGCTGCTCCTAACAGCCACAGAGCCTTGATAGTTTCCTGGAATGAAGTGTACTTTCAAGCATTTCGTTGAGTAAAAGAGGCCATGAATTTGAGAGAAAGCAAAGATGAGTAGGTCTCTGGAGAATTTGAAGGGAAGAAATCAAAAGGGGAAATGATACAGGTATATTTTAATATCAAAAAATGAAAGAAATGTACACTCAACTTTAGTCATTGAAATAATAATGCAAGCTTATAACATACAATAAAAATGTATGTTTATATTGCATATCAGATTATTCATTAGATAATGCCCAGTCCTTATTTCCAAAGGGGTAAGTGACTTGTCCACTCTTTGTTTCACCAACATATTCCATTTGTCAAATACTTATTTGAGAAGGATGTTTTATGAGAAACAGAAGTCAAATGTTCTTAGTCAATCTTGCCTGTGCAAAAATATCTGCCTGAAAATGATACTCCCTGTGTAAAATGATATTGAAAAGAAATCGTTGTTTGGAAAGGTCAAAAGGTCATTCTCATCTCTTTCCCATTTTTTTTTCTTGCACAAACTTAGTTGGGATCTTTATTTTGCCTTCTATACTATGTTTTCAATTTCAAAATGTACATCTTACATCATATTTGATTATAGTGATTTTTAAGTTGATTGTATGAGAGAACAAATTATCTTTATTGGGTTTTTTAAAGTGCATTAAGAATAAATCATAAACTACATCTGACAAATGAAAATATATGCAGAAAAAGTACCTAATTTGATTACAAAACAATATCTATTAATGTCTGTGAGTGTACTCATCAGTAAATTAATAGATTTAAAATATACATTTTTTTTCTCAAAATCTCAGAAATGTTCTGGTTTCTCACATCTTGGCCCCTAATTTATGGAAAGAGTTCAATATTTGGATGCATGAAAAATAAATATGATTTATTCTTGGTGGTACTATAATGTATTAAAAGGCCAACATTGTAATATATAAAAAGATCACAGTTGTCCATTAATTCTCATATACTTTAACATTTTGTGCACCCACAAGGATGCTTCTAGAATTTCTTGGTAGCAAATGAACATTGAAAAAGAATATGATTTAATATGCCCTAGAGTTGTGTTATATTAAATAATTTATACATGGCAATGGAAATTCTAATGAACTCAATCAAGATAAAATTATAGACTATTGTAAAGTTTGAAAAAACAATTGAGATGAAGATGTTTAAATTTATACCATCAATGCCTACAAGATAATCAATCCTATCCTGTGTGGACAAATAACTTTATAAATTAAAGTAATCAAAGTCTTAGTTGTGATATGGTCAATCACTTTTCATACAAATAGATATAAATAGATAAAACCTTTGGTAAAAGTAAAGTTGACATTTTCCATAATATCCAATTTCATAAACAAATAAAATGGTTATTGAGTAGATTTTTAAAAAGATCATCAAATTTTATTTCTGGTTTCACTATTATAATTTTAAAATTTTTACATGTGTGCCTAAAAATGTTTTTAAGAATCATGAGAAATAATTGACTCATCCTTAACAAAAAATGCAAAACAGTCATTTTCATTAGAATATAATTTACTACTTATCAAATTTTGAAGTTTTCTTTAACTTTGTAAATCCTGTATGAACATTTATGTCTTTTTGTAAAACAACTCTAGAATGTTAGAAACCACAACTGATATTGATATTTTGAATAAAGATGGAACCCCTCAACTCAGCCTGACATCCTAAAAATATCATCAAGAATGTCTTTTTATTTTTGGAGGACATGCAGGAAAAACTTTAGAGAAAGGCAACTGGTTTGAAGGGGTAACGATCAAATGAATCACTACTTATAAATAGCAATTATGTTAAACATCATAATTAGTAAGACTAACTAATAAATTATTTTTGTTTACTCCATTTTAATGTGTAATCTCTATTTAAAATTGTCTCAAATCAAATAATAACTCAAGGAATCCTGTTTCTTTGGGAGATTCCCCTTGGAGCTCCAAGAGATGTAAAATGAGTGTGACATTAGGCAAAAGGACAAGCCAGTGCCCAATGCATTGCTTAGCAATTTACTTCCTGACAGGCTTCAATCCAACTGGAAACTTTTTGAATAAATATGCACAATGTATCTCAAAGTTGTTGCTTCATTGTTCAAATAAATTAACCCACTCACTCACCATCAGGGCTATCTTCCGCTCCCAGATCTCTTTGTGATACATTTCACTCATTTTGTGTTTTCCTCCATGCAAGAAACAAGCTCTTCTAAGGAGATGTTCAGGAAGAAGCATAAGGAGCTATTATTAAAAGCATGACATCTGCCTGTGTGCCTTGTCACCATTAGTGAATGTCACTTAAATGGGATAGAGGATTTCTGCTATTTCTCATACTTATTTATCATACTTATTAAATGTCTGTTATATATACAAATTAATGCAGAGAAGTATATATTCATCAAGATAAAATTTCCCGAGATTATACTGTCCTCTCTTCTACTCTAGGACGCTCGACTCTTCTGACCTTGTAACTCTATCCTGGTGCCTCGGTCAGTTCCTCCTAGCTAGTTATTAATCCATTTGCTTCTGTGTCTCTGTCTCACTCTCACTTCACCCTTACCCTCCATTCAGTACAGTCAGCACCTTGCCTGTCTAATTTAGTTGCTTGCCTACTGAATCTTTGCTAACCCGTGTCAATGTAAAAACACCACTCTCATCCCCAAAGGGATTTGAGGCAGTGTATTCTGGCCCCAAATACAAGTTATTGTGGCCCAGGAGCACAGACAGACTTCTCCACATTCCATGTTTCATACAGTTTGTATGTTAATGGAAAAAAAGAAAGTATTAAATGAAGACACTTTTCAAGCACCTTGGTAAACACCTCCAGAAGGCAGGTTATAAGCAGAGAGATCTCTGCTGAGGGCTTAGGTACTAGCTGAGAACATTCTTAGCCTTTTGACTGGTGGACCTTGAATTTATTAATGAAGTCCAAAGGCTTTTTATCTGCTAGTTAAAGGGTGTTAGCTCTGACACAGAGGTTGGCAAGGAATGAATATTTAGGGCTTAAAAATAGCCTCAAATAAACTGTATCTAGCCCTAGACCTGTACATCTCCACATCTCTGAATTTCTAAAGTAGTCAGTATGTCTATGCAGACAGTTTCTCTCCAAGTATTCTTATTAGCATGCATGTTCTTTGTTCTCTTCTTCATATGGAGTAGGTTAAGGTAATTCTGATTTCTCACTGTATGTATAATACCGAAAAGCGTGTCTAATAAAAGATAAAGTGCTATTATACTTTTGAAATTCTCTTTACTGTGTGTGCACACATGCATGCGTGTGTGTGTGTGTGTGTGTGTGTGTGTGTGAAGGGCATGCCTCAGCATGTGTGTGGAACTTTGTGGAGTTTACTGTCTTTGGCTCTCTTCTTCTACCTTTATATGAGTTCCAGGGATACAACTCAGCAGCTTAGGCTTGTGCAGCAAGGTATTTTACCCTCTGAGCTATCTCAATGGCCCAGGAATTCTTCTTTAAGGATGCTCTCAGACAAGTCTTGAGCAGGTAAGCACAGCAGTAAGCGTATGCAAGCATTGACTATGTTACCGGCTGAGGGTATCATTTTGCACATCTTTCCAGTTCTTACAACTTTTTGCCTTCATTTCCATGATGCTTCTTGAGCCTTGGTGGGGGTGATTGACTGTTCAGAGCTGATCACTCTGCTGGCAGTAGGAGAAGGACTTATTGAGAAGAAAATTTACAGCAAAAAAAATTTGAGGGTATGAGAGCGGGGAAGGAAGATGTGTGAAAGTGACTCAAATTTATTATATAAATAATAAAAAACTTTCAATCATTAAACATAAAAGAATAACTTCTCATTTCATCTTGATAATGAAATTAGTTGAATATGTTTTTCTAAATCACTTTTTTAAAAAAAAATAGATAATGAAAACCTCAGCTGACCTGGCTGCTAGCTCAAAGACATTGCAAATCAAGGGTATAAGTATGCCTCAATGCCAGGAAAAGTACACTCGCATTAATATGCATTAAAATCTGACTCAGAATATGTATGAAAAATTCATGTGTTTTTCTTCAACTCTTGGATGAGATTATAATAAGTTTTATCCTAATCATATAAAATAAAGTAGGAACATGATTGAAGACATGCTAAGGTATAATATGTATGTGGCTAATAACATTTCCTTAGCATATTCTAGAGTAAATTACACTTGGATTGTATTCAGTGACTGAGGAAATCTTTGGGGGAGCAATTTCAAATGCCTTCATATCAATACTTTCCATTTTTTATTTGCACAGAAAATTAAAACTACATTTTTCTCATGTAATTGTATCTGTGTAAAGGCATGTAAGAGAAAACTTGAGGAACGGTGAGTTTTAAAATTTTATTTATTTATTTAATTAGTTACACCCTGGATTTTATCCCCCCGACCGCCGTCCACCTTCTGACTGTTCCACATCCCATACCTCCAACCCACCCCCTGTCTCCATGAGGCTGTCCCTACCCTCTATCCAAGCCCCAATTGACCTCTAAACTCCCTATGGCCCCCAGTTCCTTGAGAGTTAGGTGCATCATCTCTGAACATAGACCTGGTAGTTCTCTGCTCTGTATTTGTTGGGGGCCTTATATCAGCTGGTATATGCTGCCTTTTTTTGGTGGCCCAGTGTTTGAGAGATCTCGGGGTCCTCCCACAGGGTTGCCCTCCTCCTCAGCTTCTTTCAGCCTTTCCCTAATTCAGCAACAGGGGTCAGCAGCTTCTGTCCATTGGTTGGGTGCAAATATCTGCATCTGACTCTTTCAGCTGCTTGTTGGGTCTTTTGGAGGGCAGTCATGATAGATCCCTTTTTCTGAACTCTCCACAGCCTCAGCAATAGTGGCAGGCCTTGGGACCTTCCCTTGAGCTAGATCCCACTTTGGGCCTGTCGCTGGACTATCTTTTCCTCAGGCTCCTTTCCATTTCGATCCCTGTAGTTCTTTCAAACAGGAACAATTATGGGTCAGAGTTTGGACAGTGGGATGCAACTCCCTCCCTCACTTGATGCCCTGTCTTCTTGCTGGAGGTGGGCTCTATAAGTTCCTTCTCTCTACTGTCAGGTATTTCATGTAAGGTCTCTCCCTTTGAGTCCTGAGAGTCTCTCACCTCCCAGGTGTCTAGTGCATTCTGGAGGGTCTCCCCAACCTCCTACCTCCCTAGGTTGCCTGCCTTCATTCTTTCGGTTGGCCCTCAGAGCTTCAGTCCTTTTCCCTCACCCAATACCAGATCAGGTTCCCCTTTCCCCTAAACCATTCACTTTCCCTCTCAGGTTTCTTGATCCCTCTCTGCTTGTTATTGCTTTGTTCTTTCTCCTCAGTGGGACTGAGGTGTCCTCACTTGGGCCCTTCAGCTTGTTTACCTTTTTGAGTTCTGTGGACTGTATCTTGGGTAGTCTGTACTTTTCCATTGGCTAATATCCACTTATTAGTGAGTATATACCATGCATGTCCTTTTGGGTCTGAGTTGCCTCACTCAGAATATTTTCTAGTTCCATTCATTTGCCTGCAAAACTTAGGATGTCCTCATTCTTAATAGCTGAGTAGTATTCCATTGTGTAAATGAACTACATTTTCTGTATCTATTCTTCTGTTGTGGGACATCTGGGATGTTTCCAGATTCTGGCTATCACAAATAAGGCCACTATGAACATAGTGGAACATCTGCCCCAGTGGCATGGTGGGGCATTTTTTGGGTATATTCCCAAGAGTGGTATTGCTGGGTCTTCAGGTAGATCTATTTATAATTTTTTGAGGAACCTCCAGATTGATTTTCAGAGTGGTTGTACAATCTTGTAATCCCACAAGAAATGGAGGAATATTCCTCTTTCTTCACATCCTTGCCAACATGTGTTATCACCTGAGGTTTTGATCTTAGCCATTCTGACTGGTGTGAGTGGAATCTCAGGGTAATTTTGATTTGCATTTCTCTGATCACTAAGGACTTTGAATATTTCTTTAGGTGCCTCTCAGCCATTCGAGATTCCTCTGTTGTGAATTCTTGGTTTAGTTTTATGCCTCATTTTTTTTGATTGGGTTGTTTACTTTTTTGGTGGTTAGCAGCTCACTTTCCCCTCTGTAAGCTGTCCACATCTTGGCGAGTAGCCTGAAGGAGACACCATCCCTGGAGGCTACTCAGAGTGGGAAATAAATGTGTCCAAGCCCAATAATAAATGTTACAAAAAATCAACCAACCAGCCAACCAACCAACCAAGACAATTTGTATTGATTCTTTGTAAGTTTTATATCATGCAACCCACTCCACTCATCTATCGCCTCGTATCTGCCCTTTGCCCTTGCAACCTCCCCCAATAATGACAACAACAGCAACAACAACAACAATTAAAGCATGGCAAGTATCTCATTGTGGAATCTGCAGTGTGTCACAGTGTGTCCCACACTATATCTCTTTGTCCACATATCTTCACTTGCAAATGTTTACTACAATGAGTTATTGGTCTAGCTCAAGATCTTTAGCTTTGTGATACCATCAATATTGGGTCCTCATGGGAAATCCTTCCTCCTATTGTTGCTGCTCTGTGTCATGTAGATTCTCAAGCTTTGGAATAGTAGGACTGTCCCTTTCATTTGTCCCAATCATTCACAGAGGGTCCAGATTTTGGGGTGGCCAATTCTCAGCCCTGGATCTAGGCCTAAGTGGTCAGCCCACCAGCTATCTTTTATCCACATCACCAGGGTGAGCTCTCCAGGTCTCCTCTAGCTAGGACACCCAATGCTGGCCCAATGCTGGAGGTAGGGTAAGTTCTCCTTTCTCTCACTCCTCATACTGGCTCACCTACATCCATGCTTCCAGAGCCAGCTCCACTGTGCTGCCCAGTCAATGTACAGGGCCCATTCTTCCATGTGTCACAGCATGTGAGGTTTTGGGTCAACTCCCCCTCTCTCACACCCTCAGGGCTGGCTCACTGTGCCTTTGCCATCAGTGGAAGACGTACTGTATTGCTCAGGCAAGGTGCAGGGCTAGCTCTCCAGAGTGCAGGGCTAGCTCTTTTGCTCTCCAGCATCAGCTCTCCTGGCTACTGCAGGAGGCAAGGGAGGGGGGAGAGGGAAGGCCTCATCCTGCACCCTCACCATCTCACGCTATGTGAGTTGCTGGCCAGCTCTCTGCTCTCTCTCACCCATGAGGCTGGCTCACCTGTGTCTCCTTGATCAGGTCCAGCTCTTTTAGGGTGTGTGGAATATGAATGGGGCAATGTCTCTGGCCTGGCATAAGGACATAAG